GCGGCAGCGGCCCTGGCTACAGTCAACACCTATAGTATGGATGCAAGGGGATGATGCAAGACCATTGGAAGTCCAATGTACAATTCCGAGCTCCTTAGACGTCAACATTGACTCAGAACGGGCCGAAGAAGCATGGATGCATGGGTAGCTTTGAAGAGGGAGCTCGTCCTTACTGTGGATTTTGATTTTACAGTGGGGGACAACGACAACGACGACGCCAACTCACAGACGCACAAGTGGTGAGCACGCCCCCTCCACTCTCCGTCCTTTTCCTTCTCGTCGTACCCTCATTCCGTCTCTTCCTCCCTCCTCCCTTCTCCATCTTGCGTTCTGCTCCTTCCTCCATCTCCACCCTCCGTCATGATGGCCGTCCTTGTCACTACATAGGGAAATCTGATGGGGCTCTGAATGGACAGGAGTCTGAGGTGCAAAACGAGCGCCTCGGTCGAGACAACCCCACGATCTGGCCGCTCGGGATGCTGAAACTGGCGCTTCGCCCGAGCCATCCCCAGCATCTTCTCTGACAGCAAGGGAGCCTCGAGGCCAAAACATTCAAACCGCCTGCGACATCCACACAAACTGAGCGCGACCGTGCGAGTTACTCTAAATCCCTTATTCATCGTCCCATGGGTCTGGTTTTTTAAGGCGCCTTTCTTATAACTTGGGGGGGTCGGTTTATTAGGGCGCTTTCTTTGGATTGGAGCTTAGGGGGTCCGGTTTATCAAGACGCCCCGTCGAAGAGGGGGGTCCGGAACATTAGGTCGCATTTTGGAGGGGGGTCGATGAATAAGGGATTTGGAGTAACCTTCTGGCGCATTTGGAGGGGGGTCGATGAATAAGGGATTTGGAGTAACCTTCTGGCGCTTGCCCCTTGGTGTGCTGAAGCCAACGCCTCTGCTCTGAACGCAAAGAACACCTGGGGGGCACGACAGGCACACCGCCTGAGACATCCCCACAATCTGGGCGCGAACGGGCAAGTAATATACTCAAAATCCCTTATCAAGCGCCCCCCCCTTAAAAAACCGGACCCCCCTCCAAGTGCGACCTAATATTCCGGACCCCCCTCTTCGACGGGGCGCCTTAATGAACGGGACCCCCTGAGCTCCAATCCAAGGAAAGCGCCCTGATAAACCGGATCCCCCCAGCTACAAAAAAGACGCCTTAAAAAAACCGGACCCGGGGGACGATGAATAAGGTTGTAAGGTTCGCTGCTGTCTAGAGGTCTGCTAGCTCTCTAGAACGCCCCCATATTATCTTCACAACCGTCATCATCGACGTCCCTGTGACTGTCCGTGCATCGTGGGGTGCATCGTGAGATACCTGTCGAGACGAGGGGATGGGCGCAGGGATGATACGGGGGACGACGGGGATGGGCGCGAGGACGCAAGGGGGGATGATTCGGGGGACGCCGCGCGGAGGCCACAACACTGGCAGCGAACCTTGCAAGAAGAAGGGATTTGGAGCACCCCCTGGCGGCTCGCCCTCGGTAAGCTGACGCCAGCGTCGCGCTCGAGATGGCGTCGCACTCTGCTCGGCAAGCAACAGGGAGTCTTGGGGGGCACAGCGCCCAGACCACCTCGGACGTCTACTCCATCTGGGCGCGAACGAGCGAGTCAATCTATACCTCCTGGCGGCTCCCCCCCGGCGTGCCCGAGTGCCCTCCCTGTGATGTCGCGGGGATCGAGGGACGTTCAACAAGGGAGGAAACTAGGGGCGCCGAGGCAAGCAAGCTGCCCCAGACCCCCCCCCTATCAGGGAGCGAACGGGCCCGTGCAGCTCCTGCTGCATCGCGGTGGTCGAGGGGCTCTCAGCAGAGAGGAGACCGAAGCGCCGAGAGAGAGAAATTGGCCATGGCCAACCGCTGATAACACATCCCCCAGCCCGGCCGCGCCCGGGCGAATGTCACTACCCCCTGGCGGCTCCCTCTCGGGGTGCCCCAACGGCACGCCTGCGACAGCGCAGAGATCAGAGGGCTCGCGAACAGAGGGGATACCGAGGCGTCGAAACAAGCTCGGGACATCCCTCCAGTCTGGTCGCGAACGGGCGGGGCCCCCTGGCGGCTCCTCCCTGGGGGTGCACGGGGAGACAACGCCAGCTACAACGCCGTGATCACAGGCAGGGCAGACAAAGGAAAACCCGAGCCTCCAAAAGAGGCGAGCCGCTCGAGACATCCAAACCCGGCCGCGCACGGGCGAACGACACCCCCTGGCGGTTCCTTCGTGGGCTGCGCGAGTGCCACTCCTGCTGTAGCGCGTTGGTCTTAGGGCTCTCGAAAGAGATGAGACCGAAGCGCCGTAAGGGCGAGTATCATACACCCTGGTGGCCCTTCCTTGGGGTGCTCGAGTGCCACCCCTACTTTGCCGCGGTGGGTCAAAATGAGTCTCAGTGTCAGTGGGTCTGTGTGTCAGTGAGTCTGAGTGTCAGTCACCGTGAAGCTTGTGAATAGGAGTGAGTCTGACTGTGAGCGGGCTTGAATGTCAGCTAGTCTGAGCGTCGGTGAGTCTGAGTGTGAGTGCAGCTGAGTGTGAGTGAGTCTGAATGTATTGCGTGAGTACAAGTGTGAATGTGTATGAATGTAAGTGACATTTGTGCTGAATGGGTCTGAATGCGAATTTGTGTAACTATGAGTGCGCCTGGGTGTGCCGTGTCTGAGGGCGAATGGATCTGCACATGAACGCGAATCTGCTCATGAACGCACCGGAATGCAGAAGGGAGAAAGCGGGAGAAGAGGAAGCAGAGCCGTCACACTGAGAAGCAAGAACCCCATCCTACAGTCAGGCCGCATAGCAAGGATGAGCAACTTTCCAAGGTTACCAGTGCATCCTTCCCCTTCGGCCCATCCTTGGCCGCTGTCGCTGGCGGCGCCCCGCTCCCAAAGCAAGTGTCGACGTGGCCTTCCGAGGCCCCTGCATCCTTGCCGTGCATCCTTATTACACGGGTTGACTGTAGGAACCGAGGAACAGCACGTCGTCGGGAGATCTCGGCACCGCCTGCTTGATGGCCGAGGAGGAGGAGGAAGGAGGAGGAGGAGGAGGAGACAGAGGAGGAGGAGGAGAGAGGAGGAGGAGGAGAGGAGGGAGGAGGAGGAGAAGAGGAGGAGGAGGAGGAGAGGAGGAGGAGGAGGAGGAGAAAAGAGGAGAGGAGGAGAAGAGGAGGAGAAAGGAGGAGGAGGAGAAAGAGGCGGAGGAGAAAGAGGGAGGAGGAGGAGGAGGAGGAGGAGGAGAGGAGGAGGAGGAGGAAGAAAGAGAAGAGAGAGAAGAGGAGGAAGGAGGAGGAGGAGGAGGAGGAAGAGGAGGAGGAGGAGGAGGAGGAGGAGGAGGAGGAGGAGGAGGAGGAGGGGCCACTTCCGTGCAGCCGCCTGCTCCACGGCGACCTCGCGGGAAGCGGAGCGCCCCTCCCGCGAGTGGCCGCGGGCGCTCGGGAGGCTGGCAGCGGCGGCCCCTCTCGCGCCGGCGGCGGCCGCGGGATCGCGAGGACGGGGCCGCTCGCTCTCTCTCTCTCTCTCTCTTTCTCTCTCTCGGCGAGCGCGTTTCACTACTCGCAAAGTCACTACCCACAAACGGCCTGGATGCGCCGAGGGGGATTTACGATCCAGTACATCAAGGACAGCATGTTTCTTTCCGGACGTTTGCGAGTAGGCACTTTGCGAGTAGTGGAACGCGCTCGGGGAGGGCCGCAGATGGGGGCATTCCCAGGCCCCCACCGAGCAGTGAAGAAACATCGCGACGGTAGACTTTTCGCAACTTGCGGCTCCTGGGGGCTCCTTGCCGTCAAAAAACGACTCAGGACAGTCAAGAAACGACTCAGGACCGTCAAATAACGACTCAGGACGAAACACCGGTGCCGTGGAATGGGTCGAAACCTCGGGGGATCGACGCCATGAAAGAATCATGACGTCGGGGGTCTGGGCTGCCGAGTCACTCGCCATCGCTCGGACGTCCACTCCCTCCGCAATTTAGGGGTGTCGTGCGTGTGTTTGTTTTGGCGCGCGAGGATACAAGAGATGCTCCCCCCGTTGGCCCTCGCCGAGAAGAGCTCTCACGTCCGAGCGATGCCAAGGTCAGCTCGCACAGCCGATTTTCCTGGGCGCCCCGCGAGGCCAGAGGCACCCCTGCATCGATGCAGTCGCGTGCCTGCAGGGGGCCTCGTGCCCCGCCCACCCTCGCCCCATGCCCCCCCCCCCCCCTGTCCGAGCAGCCTCGAGCCTGCCCCTACCCCTGGGACCGGCAAGCCCCAGGCGGGGGCAATCGCAGGCGCGTGCCCCCCGGAAGCAGAGGGGGTCCCCACCGATCGGCACCGAGGCGGCCGAAGGAAGGCGATGCCACGCAGGGGGACGGGAATGTGTCGGCGGCGTGCTCTTGTCGTCAGACCCGACAGGCGGGGGCCTCGGGCGCGAGGGGGGAGCGCCGCTCGGGCCTCGAGCGGCCGCGGGGGAGCAGCGAGGAGGCGGGCGAGAGCGAGCGGGAGGAGGACAAGGGGGGAGGGGGGGGGGAGGGCAGACGGAGGGCGGGGGAGGGAGAGGGAGGCGAGGACAGCGGATGGGGCGGAGGGAGCCGGGAGAAGGGCGGGAGGACGGGGAAATGGCAGAAAGGGGGGGGAGGGAGAAGGGGGCGGGGAGGAAGCAAGAGGAGGGGGATGAAGACATGTGCTACATACATACATACATATATATATATATATACACATATTATTGGATGATCATGTGATCATGTGGAGAGGGAGAAGAAGAGGAATACGATGAAGACATGATGGGGACGAGGAGGAAAACTCCACCTCCACCTCCACCATCTCCTTTTTAGTGCCCTCCTCCCCTCGTCGTCGTCTGCTTCCTCCCTCCTCCCCCACCGCTCTGCGCATCCTCACTCTCATCACCTTCCTTCTGCTTCTCATCATCCTTCTCCTCCTCCTTCTCCTACCCCTTCCATTCCCTCACAATCGCCCTCGTCCTTCTCTTTCCTTCTCGTAGCCTCCTCTTCCTCCTCCTCCTCCTGATTACAAGATTCCCCTCATCCCAGGGCGCGGAGACGCGACCAGCAGAAATAGCTCCGGTGACGGGAGGGTGAGAGGGAACGGGCCCGTGCCAGACTTTCTGGCCGCCGCCCCACGATCCGCGCGCGGCTCAGACGTCGTACGTCCACTCAGCCAGGCAGTCCCCACACTGCGCCTTGCAGCGCTCCCCGCGCTCCTCATTGTCCTTGCTGCCCCACGTCTCGGCCTTGCCGTAACCCTCCCGCACGCTGACGAGGTAGCCGAAGCGGACGCGGCCCTGCTTGCCGCACTCCGCGCAGACCATGGTGGGGTCCTTGGCAGAACCAAGAAGAGAGGCGCCTGCGTAAACTGCTGCAGGTCCGCGCGGACTTCTTGTGTCGGCGCTGGGCCCCCCTCCCTAGAGGCCTCCTGGATGGGGTCCGAGTAGCTGGCCATCGCTCGGACGTCCATTCCCTGTGTTTTTTTCGGTTTCGTGCGTGGTTTTTTCGCCAAATGATCAAGGATGCTCCTCGATGGTCCTCGCCGAGGAAAGATGCACACGCCCGAGCGATGCCAAGGTAGATGGGGTCAGAGGATCGTGCCGCATCGCCAGTGCATCGGCGATGCATCGGCGACGCCGGCGTGGAGAGACTCGGGCTCGACATCGATCCGCATCCCCGATGCGGCGCGACCCTCGGGCCCCATCTACTCGGACCCTATCTGGGAGGCCTAGGCTCCCCCTCCCCTGGGGTGCAGAGCGCGCCAGGGGCGGCGCCTCCGGCGCAGCCACCTGGGGGGGCCGCCAGCCCAAAAAGTCCACGCGAAGCTCCGCAATGCTGGCAGGGCTCATGTGAATTTGTCTTCTCTCTGGGTCCTCGAAGGGAAGGTCCTTCCTCTCGGGGGGATGCAAACGGGGGGGGATATACACGGGGGGCGATCGAGGTTGCAGGGAAGTGGCTCTGAAGAAGGGGGCCGAACTCTATGCACCGACGCTTTCTGCTCCGACCCCGCACTGGAGCTCGCACAGGAAAGCGGATCCTAGGTAGAAGGGATCCTGGTGTAGATATTTTTCGTTGCTTCCCCGGGGAAGCGGGGAACAAACATACACACCACGCCACCCCGACGTCGTCCCCGCCACCGGTAATCAATACACGTGTTCCAGTGTCCGATGACACACGGGGGGTCCTCGTGGGTTGCGGGGAAGTGGCTCTAAAGGGACCCTGGAGGGCCGGCTCCCGAACTGCCGCCTCGACCTGGAAGGGCCCCTGATTGAAGAGACAGCGCCCGCGTCCTCCCGCTGCCCCCCCCTCTCTCTCCCCATCATCAGCATCCCCATCACCAGCATCACTGTCACCATCATCATCGTAATCATCATCATCATCATCATCATCATCATCATCATCATCATCATCATCATCATCATCATCATCATCATCATCATCATCATCATCATCATCATCATCATCACCATCACCATCATCATCAGGTCGGCACACCCCTCACACGGTTCGGGGCCCCATAGGGAGCTCCACCGAAGGCCCCAATGGCTGCGTCCTCATGCGTCACCGCCACCCGTTCCGGCACACCACTCACACGGTTCGTGGCCCAATAGGGAGCTCCACCGAAAGCCCCAATGGCTGCGTCCTCATGCGTCACCGCCACCCATTACGGCACACCCCTCACACGGTTCGTGGCCCCAGAGGATGCTCCACCGAAGGCTCCAGTGGGAGGGTTCGTATGTCACCACCGCGCCCAATCCGGCACGCCCCTCACTGTGCGTGGCCCCATAAGGAGCTCCACCGAAAGCGGCAATTACCCACAATGCGGCACTCGCAGCTTCATATGCTTGGGTCTGTCGTCAGGCAAATTTTGAATTTTCCTCGTGTAGAGGGACGTGCCCGACTCAATCCTGCGATCCACCGCGCGCTGGAGCCAAGCGCTCTCCGCGGCGGCCTCCGAACCAGAGCCACGCCGCCCACCACACCGCGAGGGCCCCGCGCCCCGGGGACCAGAGCGCGTGCTCGTCTTCGCCTCCCCCGTTCGACAGATGCCCCCCCCGTTCAGCCGCCCGCCGGGATCCTCTCCCGGCCGCTCTCCTCGTGGCATTCTCGAGACGGGTACGGAAAACATGTGGTGTGTGCCCCACGGCAGGCCTCGGCCTCCAACCAGCAGCAGCCGCTGCTGGGCGGGCGATCTGGTGTCTCGGGTGGACACGTCCGCGGCGACGCCGACTGCGGGTCCAGTCCAGAATGAGCAGGAACTGCTGCCGGTCTGTGCACCCAGTCTTCGAGGGCCAGAACACACAGTGCGGTGACAGACCGCTCATTCCCCTCGAAATCACAAGAACCGCACGGTCTTGGGGCCCTTGAGGCCCCGGTCGCCCGAGACGTCCTCGGAGAGCGACCCGGAGTCCAAACACCGTGCGGTGACCCCGAGTCCTTACCGACTCAGCATACGGTGTGGTCACCACACCTTTTGGGGGACCCAAAAGTCTTTCCGCACCCGCTCCGACCTCTAGGTGGCGACATCTGAATCCTACTTACCCCCACCAACCATCGATTCTCCTGAATAAATGGGAAGCGGGGTTGAGGTTCAGACTTCGCCACGTGTTCGACGACTTCCGAACCCTATACCCCTGCCGCCCATCGAAGTGCCCGAAGCGCTGATCGGCGAGGGTAGGGCTCGGAGTTCGCCGCCGACCCGCTGCTTTCCGTACCCGTGTCGATCGCACCGATCCTCGGGAGGCATGGCGCGGAGCTCGCGCAGCCGCGCGCGCTTCGCCTCCGGCAGCAGCTGCTCCGCGGGCAGCGCGGCGATGCTCGCGGCACTGAGGCTGCCGTCCCGCAGCCGCTCCAGCAGGCCGCGGGCGACGTCTGGGTCCCGCAGCGCGCCGCACACGCGCCGCACCTCGGAGCGGTAGTGCCGCAGGGCCACGGCGAGTTCCTCGCCAGACGCGTCGGAGCTCGGGGCCTGGGGGCACCGTTCCGAATGATCCCTGTCCTTGTGTGGCAGTGCGCGGGAGCCTTTCGTGCCATCTTGCTGACTCGTACGGCTCGATGCCAGGATCGAAACCGAGCGACGCTGGATCGCCGTAACTCGACGCTGAATCGGCGGTTTCCTTTCTTTGTTGGAGGGGGGGAGGAGGAGCGGACACAGGCTCTGCGACGCACTCGTGACGCCGCTGACCTGGCACAAGAGCTGCGCACACAAGCGGAAATGAGTCGCCCAGCAACGGTGGCGGACTGTCTCGCAAGAGATGGCGAATAGAAGTGGTATCTGTGCGGCGGCCTGCTGGTCAAAGCTGAGACGAAGGACTGCGGGCAAGTGCAACACTGAGCATCCAAGGAGGCTCGACATGTACGGACAGGGGCTACCCTGCAGCGTTCACCACCAGAGGGATGAGCGGAGGAGGATGGAGGAGAGGATGCGAGGTGGAGGGAGAAAAAGCGAGTGAACACATTGTTTCAAAATCAAACTCTACACATGCCTCCAGAAAAAAGACAGTAGCCCTGGGCCTCGCCAGGGGACTCAACCCCACACGAATCGACCTGTGATAGGCAAGCACACGCGGTGAACAGCAAAACTTGCTCCGAGCAGTCTACTCACGCACGACGTTGGCAGCCGCGGGATCGAGCAGGGGCGGGAGGAGAAGCCAAAGGGGGGGAGAGCGCAAGGCGAACTGTGCAAGACTCTGATCACACGTTGGGCGCATGCGCCCCCCGACTGATGTCGGCGCTGGGCAAACCTCCCTTTAGTAGACCTCCCCTTAGTGAAAACGGCCTGGGACCGAAGCCGATGGACCTGGACCCGCAGAAGACGGCCCCTGCAGGAACGAGTCACGCTCTGGCGAAGCTGGGCTCGTAGCCAACCCCCACAGCGCTTCGGAGAGAACATCGGCGGCCACTGCGCCCAGTCGGCGCCGCGCCGGGCCACGTCCATCCCTGGCGCGGATTCGGGCGAAACGCCCAAAGCAGCTTGCAAGGCGACGCGCTGCACCTCCCAAGCCGGGCTGTCAGGCGGAGGCAGCCCGGCGGAGGAGACGTCCTCGCGCAACCATTCCTGAAGCATTCGCAGGTCGACCTGGCGGCATGCGAACACCACCAACTCCCAATGTGCCTGGAGAGAGGCTGTCATTTCCTCCAGGTCCGTGACCACTTCGCCCCGAGCATTGCGGGCAGCGGGGATTGCTGCGCATCGGCCAGGGAAGAGCAGCTGCCGCATCTGGGGTTTTCCCCGTCGCCTGCCATGCTGTCGCGGTTAGCTGCAAGTTCGTGGATGGCCGGCTCCTGGGCGAGCTCCGCCGCGCGCTGGCAACATCACTGGAGCCTGGCCCCCCGCCGATAGGTTCACTCCATGGGGTTGGCAGCCAGCGTGGCCAAGTGCGGATGCTGCCGTAGGCGCCGTCGCATCGCGCCAGCCCTGCCCTCCTCTGCGGCGCGCGCGAGGTGAATCGCGCAGCCGACCTATCCTCTGGGCGAGGCTCCGCACGCGCGATCTGCGACCTCTCTGTGGCCGTGCGGTCCGACGCCGCGCGACGATCATCGCGGAGAACGCGCGCTGGGAGAGGGCGACGGGCGTCGCTCGTCCCAGCCAGACTGCGGCGCCCAAACGACACGGCGCGACGCGCGGAGAGGTGCGGCATCCATCGAGCGGGGTGCGGTGCATGTGGCGGTCCAACCGCTCTGAGACAGGCTGGCTCCAGTGCGCGGGGTCGGGCCGTGAGGCGAGCTGCGGCATCGTCGTGCGCCGCGGCGGTCTGCTACACCTCGCGCAAGCCGAAGGGGCGCGCTAACGTGCTCCGGCAGTGCCCCTCGCCCCCGGAATGGCAGACCCCCGCGTGCGCGCCGGCAGCCTCCTCGACGCGGCCTCGGGCCTCTGGCGCCCAGTTGAAGTCGCCGGCCATGATGGATTTCGCGGAGCTGGCGGGCGCGATGGCGCGAGCCACGCGGGAACGCATACCTCCACGCCGCTGGCGCGCCTGTTGCTCCAAGGCGGCCTGGCCGCCTTGGCTGCGCGGCTGCCGGGCGGCAGACTGGCTGGGCGTGGCAGAATACAATGCGCACAGGTCCCGTGCGCCCATCGAGCCGCCAAGCCGTCATGCTCCGGCTCGGCCTGGAACAGCCGGCTCCCGGCGCGTCAATAATGCAGAGTCGAGCGTGCTCAAAAACAAACTCTCCACGATGGGGGAGGGGGGGGCGTGTCCACGGACTGCTCCCTCTGGCGGATGGCATGGTCCCCATGGGGGTTGGGGAGACCCGAAAGTTCCGCTGCCGCTGCTCCCCGGGCCTCTCCCGGGGTGCGTTCTGACCAGAATTTCGAGGCGAATCCCGCGGTGGCGACGAGGGCGTCCGAGGAGGCTCAAAGAAAGGAAGCGAGCGAAGGGTAGAGGCATGGGTACGGCAATTTCGTGTCGTGGCGACCCCGACGTTGGTTTCTGACACCGCGTGGGTCGTTCAACCTTGAACAATCGGCGACTCCTCGACCGCCCGATCGTTCCACATAGGCCGATTCTGGGCCACTGGCGGCGTTCAACCTTGACCGCCCGCGGCGGGGTCGCCGCCGGTCGACACGACGCGAACCTACCGTTAGGTCGCGCATGCAACCTACAGGCGGATTTTGGACGAGAAATCAAAAACACCAACAGAAACATTCCAAACAAATAACAGATAGTAGACAAATCGTCCCTGGACTATCTTTTATATAATTCTCACATCTTCCTCCTTCAGAGGGACACGCCCGACTTGAACCTACAGTACCCTTTCCTCCTCCTGAGGGATGGGGATCGGTCGGACGATGCCGAGGGCCGTCGGCTCCACGAGCGAGGACCAGAGCGCCACCTCCGCCTCCGCCGTCCACTCGGCGGCCTCCTCCCAGGCAGGGACCCCAGACCTCCTGAGCCCCTCCTCATCCTCCTCCTCCTCCTCCTCATCATCACCATCACCACCACCACCACCACCACCACCACCACCACCACCATCATCATCATCATCATCATCATCATCATCATCATCATCATCGTCATCGTCATCGTCATCGTCATCGTCATCGTCATCATCATCATCATCATCATCATCATCATCATCATCATCATCATCATCATCATCATCATCATCATCATCATCATCATCATCATCATCATCATCATCATCATCATCATCATCATCATCATCATCATCATCATCATCATCATCATCATCATCATCATCATCATCATCATCATCATCATCGCCTCCCCCTTCTCCTCCTCCGCCTCCCCTTCCTCCTCCTCCTCCTCCTCCTCCTCCTGTTCCTCCTGTTCCTCCTGTTCCTCCTGTTCCTCCTGTTCCTCCTGTTCCTCCTGTTCCTCCTCCTCCTCCTCCTCCTCCTCCTCCTCCTGTTCCTCTTCCTCCTCCTTCTCCTCGTCCTCCTCCTTTTCCTCGTCCTCCTTCTCCTCCTCCTCCTCCTCCTCCTCCTCCTCCTCCTGGGGGGGCCAGCTCTTTGTCCCGGATCGAAGCCCGATGACCCCAAGGGCTGCTGACGGGCCCCAGGGAAGCCGACCTCGAGGAAGAACATCCGGAAATCGAGAGCCGCAAGTTCTCGGAGGTCCGCGCGGCTTTCTGGGGTCAGCGCTGGAACCCCTCTCCAACTCTCGGAGGTACGCGAGGATTTCTGGGGTCGGCAATGGGACCCTTCCCTAGCAGTCGGAGCGCTCCAGGGGCGGCGGCGGAGGAGTTGCCAGGAGGGCCCAACGCCGATCTAAAACACCAGCGCGGATCTCCGAAGATCTAAAAAACAACAGACGTATCTGGGAGACCGGAGAAACACCGAGACCGTTACTTTCAGAACCTCACCAAAGAGTCGCCCCATAACAAAATTTCGCAGAGAATCCGGTCTTGGCGACGAGGGTTCTCCAAGACGAGCAGCGGCACGGCGGTATCGATATATTTTCAACCTCCGGATATCGGCGGAGATCGGCGGCGAGCCAGGGGAGGGAAGTGAGAGGGAGCGGGCATTTTCGGAAAACGGCGGAGCTTTTCAGAAGGCGGCGGGGCTTCTCAAAAGTTGCTCAGCCTTCTCCGAAGGAAGTGGCGGCTCCTTGGGCAGGCTAGGAGGGCTCCTGAAGAGCCCCGCCGCCCGCCGAGGAGGCCAACCCCCGCCCACTCTCCCTCGCATGGGCCCGGCGCCGTCGGACCTCGTCGGAGACATGGGGTCATCCACTTCACCGCCGGCGCCTCGACCCCCTGGATACTACTGCGCCGATCCGAAAGTCCCCCCAATTTTGCCACCGCGCTCGCCGCGGCCATCTGGGGCGGGGCGCGCGCAGGATCAGACTCGCGGGGCCCGAGGGCGAACGGGGGCGATGTCGCGAGGGCAGAGTCGGCGCGCCGATGGGCAGCCCAGCACCCCGTTTGGCCGGAGGGGCCCAATACAATGCAAGGGCAGAGCCGAACACCCGCCCGGGGACGCGGGATCGAGTTTCCCCTCCCAGTTTAAAATGTTGAATCCCAGCCGGTGTACTGGCCCGAAAATGAGCAAACGGCATAGGACCTCCTCGAGAAAACTGTCGGGTCGGGTCATGCGACGACCCGAAAAGTTTACCCGCCGACCTGAATGTGGCCAAATCCCAGAGGACTCGTGCCAGCAAAAAATTCGGGTCCGGTTCGAACGACCCGAAAATTTGAAACCCCCCTAGGACCCTTTGCAAAAACGTCGTTCTCGAGGTCTTCGGGCCCACTCCGAAGAAACCGAACGTGGGCAAACCGCCTAGAACTTCCGATCAAAAACGGTTTCTCGGTGGTTCCTGGCCTCGTCCGAAGGAGCCGCCGATGGGCAGACCGCTCAGGACTTCCTGGAAACGGTTTCCCAGGTGAGCCACTGCCAACGGGAACGCGCCCCGCGCGGGATCGGAGTTCGCCCGGGGGCGCGGCTGCTCTCGTCTGTCCAGGGGGCATGCGTTGCCGCGCCCTTCCAGCATAGCGTTTGCGCTGCATTCGCGCGGCGCCGTGCCTCTCAAATCGGAATAAACTTTCGGAGTGCCGATGTAGGAAACAAAAAATGGCATAAATTCGGAGGTCCGCGCGGATTTCTCGGATCGGCGCTGGGGCCCCCCGGCGGCGCCTCCGGCGCCGCCCCTGGCGCGCTCCGCGCGCCAGGGTGGGGGGTCCAGCGCCGATCCGAGAAATCCGCGCGGACCTCAGAGTTTTTATGCTTATGTGACTTTTTGTTCCCCTGGATACGGGCCCCCGACCTCTCCACCACTCCCCAGGAACCTGTTTCTCATCCCGAGTGCATGTGGGACGGCCCCGAGGCCCAGCAAGGGCACCGAGAGGCCGAAAACGATGACAGAAGCGCTGGACGTCTGGGATCTCGTCGGGGACCTGGGGTCCTCGCACCGCCGCCGACGTGGGAGACCGCCGCCGACGAGTGCAGTCCGACCGTGCCACCGTGAGGAGCGCGCAAGAAGGAACGAGGGGGCTTCGTCATGGTCGCGGCGGATCGGGGCCACAAACAGGCTCCACGGCAAAACTCTGAGGAGCGGCCCGAAAACCCGAGCTCCTCCTGGCGGTCCTTACGCCAGCGTCTTGACTGCATCGTCGGAGGGGTCTGGGCTCTGCTGCCTCAGGCGCCGGCGGCCGTGCTGCCCAACAGCGACGGCGGCCGCTGCTGGGCAGGCGCCCGCGGCGATGCCGAGGCCAGCTCCTGCTCAAAACGAGCAGGAACTGCTGCTGCTCTGCGTGCCCATCATGTCCGCGCCCACTTCGATCGTGCCGACTCGTTCGAGACGCTGGATGTCTGGGACATCGTCGGAGCCCTGGGCTTCTCTCTAAGACGAAAAGGCAGGACCGCAGCACCGTCCGAGGGAGGGCGCAGGCGCGCACCGCGACCCCCAAAGCTCCGGGCCGGCACGGGCAGCGGCCGGCCTGCCAGCTCAGAGAGCGGCGGGATATAGAGTCCTTCACGCCTCGTGCCAGGGACTGCGTGGTCGGGGGGGAGGAGGGCGAGGGGCGGGAGAAGGGAAGCCAGGCTGCCCCGCCCTCTCGGGGGGCCGGTGGAACCCCGCAGGCTGGCTCGACGGGCGTGCCTCTGGTTGGCCTGCAGCGGCCTCGGCGGCAGCTCACGGGAGCCTCCCATGCCATCTTGTTGGCTCCTGCGCACCGACGCTCGTCGATGCTAGTCGACGATACTGTATACGCTTAATCGATGTCATCGACGCTAGCCGACGGCAAATTGGCACCATCTCATCGACTCCTAGACGCTGGACGCTGGTCAGCGCTATTGACGGAAGGAAGAGGGCATACCAGGCTCCCAAGATTGGCTACCGAAAGCGACGTACGGTTGATGGACAAGATCTTGCACCACCCGCGCAACCGGGGCGACGGCACAAAAACTTCCACGCGCCCCCCTGCCCCCGATTCAATGTTGATTGGCTGCGCCCGCGGGGTGCAGGATTTAGAGGCCAGCCGGCAGATCGACAAAGCGCGCCACAGCCTGCCAATGGTAAATTGGGGGCGCGTGGGGCGAAAACAAAAATACGAAAAAAGCGTAGGATGTTGTCCATCCACCGTATCACTAGGCCCGGCCGATACCAGGGCACACCAGGCTCCCATGATTTGCTGCCGATCCAGACCCCCGACGTCCTGACTTTTTCATGACGTCGACCCCCAGAGGTCTCGACCCCTTCCCCAGGGCCGGCTCCTCATCCCGAGTCGTTTTGTTGAGGGTCCCGAGGCCCAGTGAGGGCCCCCAGAGGCCGAAAACTATGAAAAATATGTTTGATTCGCGGGTCGAGAGCGCATCTCTTCCGGTCGAAGCTAAGCGGGCCGCGCGAAAAACTATGAAAAACATGCCGTCCTGATTTTTCCACTGCTCGAGGGGGTCTGGGGTCTTCCCCCCCTCCTCTTGGCCGCCCCCCCTCTTGGCCGCCCCCTCTTGGCCCCCCCCCTCTTGGCCGCCCCCAGCGGCCGAAAACGGCGACAAACCTTCCGCCGTGACTTTCTTTTTTCCGTGGCTCGGGGCTGCCTCGGGAAAGCCGACGTATCATTATGTAGGTCTGGCCGCTCCTCCACCTCGGCGCCGGCGCCGCCGAAGGCGCGGCCCAGGAGCGAGCCGGAGGCCTCGGGGCATGTCCCCCTTCAGGAGGATTTTAGGAGAGAGTTCAAGCATGCCAAAAAATGCCCCCAATAATCAAAAAAATCAAAACAAATCGTCCCCTGACTATTTCTGGGCTATTCTTAAATATTCCTCCTGTAGCGGGACATGGTGGGCGTATTTTCCACCACCGCCACCAAAAGTTGGAGGGGGTGGTCCTCCTCCTCGTCCTCCTCCTCCTCCTTCTTCTCCTCCTCTTCGTCCTCCTCCTCCTCGCCCTCCTCCTCCTTCCCCCCTCCAACTTATGGTGGTGGTGGTGGTGGAAAACGAGCTCATCAGGACAGGCCCGACGTAAGCCTCGCGCGCGAGCTGCTCGGGCGGGGCCGCCAGCGCGATGGCGGGGGCTCGGCGCCCCTGGGTGCGCAGGTCGGCCGCTGCCCGCGGGGGCGGCCAAGGGAGAGGCGGCCGCTGCTCGCGGGGGCTGGCGGGGGAGAGGCGGGGAGGGGAGAAAACACACAGACACAACTCCTCCTTCTTTCCTCCTCCCCCTTCCCCCTCCTCCCTCCTCCTCCTCCTCCTCCTCCTCCTCCTCCTCCTCCTCTTTCTCCTCTTTCTCCTCCTCCTCCTCCTCCTCCTCCTCCTCCTCTTCCTCCTTCTCCTCCTCCTCCTCCTCCTCCTCCTCCTCCTCCTCCTCTCCTATCTCTCTCTCTCTCTGTCTCTCTCTCTCTCTCTTTCCCCTCAGTGGCCTGCGATCCTCCTCCTCCTCCTCCTCCTCCTCCTCCTCCTCCTCCTCCTCCTCCTCGTCGGGGAACGGATGGGAAGCAGAGGAGAAGAGACGCACATAATGCTAGAGATGCAAATCCAAACCTGGGGAGCCCTGGGTTTTTCCGTGCGACGTGTTCCGTCCTGTGTCCGTGGGTCCCCCTCTATATGGGACAAGGGGGTGCGCGAGGCGTGGCCCAAGCAGCGCTGGGCGGGGGCTGGGGAGGCGCGCAGCAAAACGAAGGGGGGCGGGGCCGTGAGATCTGGGAGACGTCCTGGCCCCCGCCCTGATGTATTGTGTGGCATGCGAGCGAACCGGGCCGGGCCTGGGAGGCGTGTTGCAAGACGAAGGGGGGGCCCGTGAAACCTGGGAAACGTCCTGGCCCCCGCCCTGATGCCTTGTGCGGCATGCGAGCGAACTGGGCCGGGCCCGGGAGGCGTGCTGCAAGACGAAGGGGGGGCCCGTGAGATCTTCGAGGCGTCCTGGCCCCCGCCATGATGAGATCCTGTGCGGCATGAGAGCGTCCTGGGCGGGGCCTGGGAGGCGTGCTGCGAGACAAGGGGGTGGGCGGCGTGAGATCTGGGCGGTGTCCTGGCCCCCGCCGTGCTATCTCGTGTGGCATGCGAGCCTTCCTGGGCGGGGGCCAGGAGGCGTGTTGCAAGACGAATGGGGGGGGGGCCGTGAGATCTGGGCGACGTCCTGGCTTCTGCCATGCTATCTCGTGTGGCATGCGTCGGGGATCGTCTGACCCGGGTCAGTCAGGCCTTGCAGTATCCTGCAGGATCCTGCAAGATCCTGCACCCAAGCCCGGGTCCATGCGAAGGATCCTGCAAAATCCTGCAGGATCCTGCGAGCAGACCGGGGTCAATGCGGCCCTGGCCCTGCAGGATCCTGCAAGATTGGGCGCTCTGGCTGACCCCCGTCTGCATTGACCCCCGTCTAAAGGCTCCCGAGTGCGAGCGTCCTGGGCGGGGCCGGGAGACGTGCTGCAAGACGAAGGGGGGGCCCGTGAGATCTGGGAGACGTCATGGCCCCCGCCATGATGCCCTGTGTGGCATGCGAGTGTTTTTTTTTCTTTTTTTCTTTGGCGCTTCGGCATTGGACGGAAGTGGGGGGGGAGGAGGGGTGCCTCGCGCAGGACCTCTGCGTGATGCGACTGTTTGCAGCAGTGTGTCCTGTGGGGGAGACTCCACCTGCTTGAAGCAAGCGCCAAACACAGCCAAGATCTAACCCATGGGGGGGGGAGGGGGGGTGCGAGGGCCCGCGCCGATCGGCAAAACAATGCACAAAAAACGATCACCATCTTCGGGGGACCTTGTTTGTCCCGTCGCGCCGCGATCCACGCCGAATCCGTGTCGAATCCGTGTCGAGCACGGTGATTCCGCGTCGAACCCGTATTGAATCCGTGTCGAGTCCACGTCGAGCCCACATCGAACCCACGCCGGCGAACAAGAGAAGACCGCCATCTGCAGCACATCAAGGGCCCCCCGAAGGTGCAAACAAACATGAGCCCCCCCCTGTCCCAGACCCCCGACGTCATGGTTTGTTCGTGGCGTCGACCCCCAGGAGGTTTTGACCCATTCCCCGGGACCAGCTTCTCATCCCGAGTCGTTTTTGTTGCCGGCCCCGTGGCCCGGACGGGCCCGACTTAACCAGAATCGATTTTTTGCCGGCCCCGTGGCCCGGCGAGGGTCCCTGGAGGCCGAGCATGGTGAAAAACCTGCCGTCCTGATTTTTGTCCACCGCTCGAGGGGGTCTGCAGACCCCCTCGAGCGGAGGAGGACCCCACAGGGTCCTCCTCCGCCCCTCTTTCAAGGGGCCCAAGACATACAAACAAATGCACACCAATAGCCGGATGCACCATGTAATCATCTTTACATGTTCGGGGTTGTCGTCTTCCCCGCCACCTCCCGTCTTTTCCTATATTTTCCCGGGAATCGATTAATTGTGTCTGTGTTTTCAAGGTGTACCTTTTCCTGCACATCATCTTCGGCACCGCCTGATCCCAGGGCTTCGCCCTCTCCCGGCCGCGTGAGGCCCCGCCTTCTTGCGCCCTTTCTCTGCTGATGAAACCTGTGCGCGTCCCGCTCAGCTTTCAGCGGAAGAGGTTCCCTCTCGCCCTGCAGATCAAGAAAGTGTTTTTGTTCCCCTCCTGACCCCTGGCCGCCCCCGACGCTCCGCGCGCCGCGCCCGCGAGGGCCCTGGCGGGAGGAGCCAAGGCGCGGCGCCGCACGCCGAGAAGCCTCCGGGGCTCCGCGCGCGGCTTTTTTTTTGCGCGGCGGGGGGCGCCCCGGGGGCGCACAGACACTCCCCCTCCTCCTCCTCCTCCTCCTCCTCCTCCTCGTCCTCGTCCTCGTCCTCGTCCTCCTCCTCCTCGTCCTCCTCCTCCTCCTCCTCCTCGTCGTCCTCCTCCTCCTCATTCTCCTCCACTTCGTCCTCCTCCTCCGGTGACCCATGTGGTTTTGGCGCGCCGCCGCCGAATCCATGGATCGGGGGCGGCGCCCTCCCCCAAAAGTGCGGCCAGTGCCGCCTCGGTCGGCGGCGGAGGTCCACGATTTTCCCACGGGAGCGGGGCCCGTCGCTGAGCCACGCCGCCGCAGGCCACGCTCGCGATCGCCAGGGCGCTGGAGCCCCCTCCCTCTCGGCGCGCGGAGCGGAGCGCACCCAGGAGCGGCGCCCGACGCGCCGCCAGGGTCAGGTCGGGCATGCCCTCCTGCAGGCGGAGCTCGGCAGAAGAAGAATCAAGAGTGGCCCAAGCATCCTCAGGGAAAAACAGCCATGAAGAAACGACACATCGCCCCCGGACAGTTTCTGGACCGTGTTCGAGCCTGCTCTTCCGGCGGTGGGCAAACCTCCCTTTCGTAAACCACCCTTTCGTGAAAACGGCCTGGGACCGAAACCGACGGACCTGGACCCGCAAACGTGACGGCCGCGACGCCCCCCCGCGAACCGAAAACGGCCAATTCGCTACTCGACGTGCCGGGGTAGGAGGTCTGTCCACCCCTGATTTGTCTGATGTTTCTTTTGCTTGTTGCTTGGCCCTTGTGGGGGGGCTCTGGGGGGCGTCTCATCGCCACGGCTGGGTCCGCCTCCGAACTCGGCTCGGAGGCGCACCCCTGGGAAGTCCCTGGGGCACATGTCTTGAGGGCAGAAGGGGGTCGTGGAGAAGGAGAAGGGTGGTGAGGGGGAGGGGAGGCGAAGGACGGAGGAAGACGAGGAGGAGGTCTGTCCACCCCCGATGCTCTTCCTGCAGAGGGACAGGCCCGACCCAACGCCGGGGGCCCCCCGCGCCGCTCCGCGAGGGCCGCGCGGAGCTCCGGACGCCCGCGGCTCGCGCCAGGATTTTGGCGCCTCGACCTGGCGAGCCCGCCGCCCGCGCTGCCCAGGCCCCCGGCGCCGGGGGCCCCGCCCCCGGCCTCTGCTCGAAGACGAGACAACCGTTGGAGTCGGGCGTGTCTGAAGGGGCCCTGGGACGCACAAGTAAATGCACACGAATACAAATGTTCCCCACATGTGTTCCCAGATGTTTGGGTTTTTTGGTCTTCCCCCCCACCTCCCATATTCTCCCACATCTTCTGGGGAATCGACCATTCATTGTGTCTGTGTGGTTTTTCCCCTCCTGAGTGTCCCCCTCCAGGGGGATTTGGAACGAAAGCTAAAACATACCCCCATGGAATTCAAAGATACTCAGAAAACGGAATCGAGACATCGTCCCCAGACTATTTGTTGTTACTGCTGTTGAAGATCCCTCCTGTAGGGAGGGACAGGCCCGACTGAAGACACCTGCACGGGGCACGACGAGAGACCAGCACAGGCTCGGACCTGGACTGGCTGCCCACCAGACCGCCCCAACGCGACCCGAAGACCCGAACCGTTCGTCCGAATTTCGGGCTGGGGGAGGGGGGTAATTACGGGCTTCACTTGTGTTTTCTCCATGTCCCCGACCCCCCCCCCAACACTGGAAATGGAGGGCAAATCGGGGCCTTCGGGTTGGGTTGGGTTGGCTTGGTGGGTGGTTTTAGATACCCAGACCCTCCGACGTCATAATCTGCTCATGACGTCGACCCCACGAGGCTTGAACCTATATTCCCCAGGACTGGTGTTTAATCCCGAGTCGTTTTTGTGGACGGTCCCGAGGCCAGGTGAGGGCCCCCAGGGGACGAAACTAGTGAATAACCTCCCGTCATGATTTTTCCATTACTCGATGGGGGTCTGTACAGGGACGGGAAGGGGACAAAAAAATGACCCCCCCTTGTCGTCGATACCATGTTCGTCCCCCCCCTGCCCCCCGACTCAAAGTTGGGCTGCGGCGTGGTGAGGGCCCCGGGGGGTCCACTTTTTCTGGGCCTTTCAAGCCTGCGCTCTTGAATGTCTGGGAACAACTTTGAATGTGGGGGGAGGGGAGGGGGCAGAGTCCAGGGTTCCGCTTTTTTGTCCATCTACGGGAGAGGGAGAGACAGAGAGAGAGAGAGAGAACAACAAATTAGCCTGGCGAAGGACCCAACCATATGCAGTTGAGAGTACCGCAATTGTGAATATCTTCTTCGGTGGCGCTCCCTATGGGGCCACGAGCCGTATGAGGGGTGTGCCGAAATGCGTGGCAGTGTACACAACACGAACGAAGACGATAGGTCCGAATATGAAAGCTTGAGCGCGTGCGAGTCGGATCGCGAGCGAGTCTGATTATGAATGAATCTGCGCGCGATTGATTCTATTCGCATGAATGCGTGCATGGATACGCCCAGTGTAAATGTAT